TGGGCTCCAGGCCCTCCTCCTTCCCACACTTGGCTCTTATCACTGATCTCCACAAAGATACAATTCCAATGAATGCCTACTCACTGTTCCACTACTGCTTCTTGGGGGCTCTGGGGAGGAGGAGCTAGTGTGTAAGTGGTTATCTATTGCTGGTATTGCAGTAGTGTCCCGAAGCTCTCCCAGAGGGTCAGTGCCCCCTGCACTAAGTGCTGCACAAAAACACAATCCAAAGACATTTCATGCCCTTGAAAGTGAGTGGGACAAACTAAGACAAGAGCGTCAAGTGGGGATAGCATATAATCAGGGATGGTCTAGACAGTATTTGGTCCTGCCACAAGGACAGGGGACGGGACTCGATGACTCTCGAGGTCCCTTCCAGTCCTAGTATTTTATGATTCTATGATAATTGGAGAGAGGACAAGGTGACAGCCAGGGCGATACAGGGCCGCAGACACTTACTTGATGCTAATCTGCAAGGGTCAGCTCAAAACCACTTTTTATTTTTTTAATAAACCAGATTTATTATTAATAATCTCTGTGCCCTTTTCCATCCCTCTCTAGGCACCTTCACTTCATCTTGCACCACTGAATTATGGCAGGCTCAGCTATCACTATACTAGTCTAGCCCAATCACTAGACTCCCACTTTTTGGACCTCTGCCCCAGCTCCTGGATCCAGCTGCAGCCTGCATATTGTTTCAGTTGGTAGGAGGTGCAAATGTGTTGTGTTTGCCAACCCTGGACTGGTTGCACACTAGCACCATGTGTCAAGCTTTCAGAATGCTCAGGGCACGTCTAGACTACGTATGCTAAAGAGCATATTCTGGAATTTGCATATCTTCTTCCCATCATCTTTTCGAAAGAGGATCTTTCGAAAGTGAAAGTAGTCTGGACATGGTTTTTTCAGAAAAAACTTTTTTGAAAAACCGCGTAAACCTCCTTTTTTTTTAAGGAAGAGTGGTTTTTTCGAAAAAGGGTCCCCCCCCCCCAAAAAAAGTGTCCAGACTATTTTCAAGTAACTATACTGTAAAGAGACCAGAATGTCAGGGTATCAAAGGGACCACATGAGATCCTCTTTCGAAAATGCGATTGGAAGAAGATATGCAAATTCTAGATGTGCCCTCAGCGCTCACTCTGACCTGTGGAAGGGGAACCGCTGCTGCTATGTGGACTGTCAGTGAGGTTTCCTGACTGCTTTGTGGACCCCCATTGCTCTCGAATGCAGTATAGAAATGAGGAGTGGCTACTCACTGAATAAATAAGGGGTGCAGGGCATATGTCAGCTATCTCTTCTGTGCAGGATCCTCGGAAGATGCAGCTGGACTGCTCCCCTCCACACCACACACAGTTATACTTGGAGTCAGCCGTTTGGCAGCGGCTGCAATCCACGTGTCCCATAGAGCAGTTATACAGAGTTACTGCAGAGCAACGACATTCAAAAAGGCATCTGTGAAAACCCCAGCAATGCACAGAATGACCCCAACAACCAAGCGTCTGGCACCAACACACAAAATAACAACTCAGTGCTTAAGGGTTGCCCCTGATTTCCCAGTGATAGAACTATTGTTACGAAAGCCTGAATACAGTCTACTTCTAAATTTTCCCAACTACCCCGGTTCCATTCCCAAATCCCTCTTCTGCTGGTGAGGTGTCACATTCCTACCATAGAGATCCACAGCGCTGTCCACTCGGAGGTGTTGTTTTCTCTGTACAAACACCACAGCATTGAATTCAAGTTGAGATGCCAAGTAACTATACTGTAAAGAGACCAGAATGTCAGGTATCAAAGGGACCACAAGACCACTCACTACATAGCTGAATAAACAGAAGTGCCTCAGTGTTTCATATAGTGGTAACATGCACATTGCAGCAAGTCACTTTCCTTTTTCATGAACAGAAAATGGGTCTGATTCTCAAAGACCAGCAGGGTAATTGCACATGGCCATTTGTGGGCCCAACTAGCCACCTCCAGAAGCACATGCTGAATTACATGTTTACATGTGTTATTTTCACTGAAACATCTTGTGACAGACCAAGTAGCCTAAAGTAGACTCACCTCTCTGTGCACCTGGTCAGTATGCCCATGTGAACCAAAGGGTTGAGATCATTAAGTAAGGAGGAGGTGATTAACACATCAACAAGGGGATTCAGTTTGCTAGCTGCGGATGTTTTAAAGAGAGATGTTGCTGGCCAAGGTCTGAGCCAGCAATAGTAATGGCTGGAAGGAAAGACCAGAGAAGCCTAAAATCTCAGACAATTGTGATTTCTTCTCTCTACCCCACGCTGAGCCTTGGTAGGAGGAAAAGACTTGGGGGAAAGCTTCATGCTGTGGGGAGTAAACACTTGTGAAGTACATTGTAAGTAAAGTACAAGGATTTGAACTTGGCACTGGTATGTGTGCATTAGGGCTCTTTGCGGGGGAGGGATCCAGGTGAGGAACCCGCATCCTGTGAGAACGGGGGGGCTTGTCTGAGATCTTCCATTTTCTGGTATAGGAGAGGGCTGGAGGCAGGGAACGAGGAACCATGGTGAAAAGTATGTGCTGCGCAGTGGAAGAGCAAATGGCGTTTCAGAAAATCCATCCAGAGTTTCAGCAGACCCAGCGACAAGCGGGACAGGCCTTGTCATCCTGACAGGCAGAGCAACAGAGCCTACAGCAATTTATTGCACAGCAGGCACAGGCGCAGCAACAGCTCCTGGAGATGCAGGTTAATCTCCTGGCAGGGAGTGAGAGCCAGGTGGTAGACACAGGGCTCTGAGAGACGGGCCTAACAAATGACCCCCAGGCCTTGTAGTTGACATTGAGAGCATGGCATGAGAAGCGGGTATGGGCCCAGTGAGCTCCTTATGCTGAGTAGCAGCACAAGCAGGGCACATGGCACTGCATGATGCACAAGCAGCTGCCTATGGAATTGTAAAAGCAGCCATTCTAGATCCATGGGGCTCTGTGAAGAATGGTACAGGCAGAAAACTCAGTTGCAAAGGTGGCCAAGGGAACACAGACTAGGCCACTAGGTAGCTGAGGCCAGATGACTGAAGAGCTGAGGCGGTCATGGACACTACCAAACTAGAACAATTGCTACAGAGTCACTCCTAGCTCGGCAGAGTTTGGATGTGGGCATATCAACCTGCCTCATTAGGAGCTGCTGTAAAACTCCTGGGGATTTTGCGGAGGTGAGCATCTCTAACGAACCAGCAGACATGACACAGGCAAGAAAGGAGAGAACCCACAAATGAGAACAAGGTGGAGGACAAGATGACCCCTCCCATACACCAACAAATTGTGTGCTACCAGTTCGGGGGTTAGGACACTTCAAGGGGAATTGCCCCATATAGACAGTAATCTGAGTTCTGCAGTACCCCTCGGGAATCAATCAAAAGGGACACCCACAATGTCTATGAGATTGGGCACTGACAAGGGACATGAGTGATGACTGCCACTGAATGACGCTTCTTGCTCAGCACTGGCAAGATGAAGACCAACTGGATGGTGTCAGGAGAGAGTTTAAAACTGTCTTGTGTTCATGGAGAGGAGAAAATCCATCTGGTGGCCAGATACCTCTGGAGATTCAGGGAAAGTTTGGATGGCAACAGGCTGGGGGTGGTCAGGACCTTGTCCTAACTGCCATTAACTGTGAGTTCTGAAACTCAAATAGCCAGGAAGGGCAGGAACAGGGTGCGCAAGTCGTCATAAAATGAGTGAAGAAGCTTAAGGGGGGCTAGCGAAAAGAAATAGGACACACTATATGGGAGACAAACTAAGACCCCAAGACCTGGAAGGGTCCCCATGTCTAAGGGACCGGTGGAGCAAACATAACCCATGTTTTCTTGAAGAAACAATGTCAGGAGGATCACAAAGTCAGAGCCACCTGCCTTTCCTGGATAGAACACCAGTATGATACAGTTCTCGCATGATTCTGGGATGCATGAACAGGAATGTTGTGAGCAAGACAGGAGAAGTTCTTCCGCTCTACTCTGCACTGATTAGGCCTCAGTTGGAGTACTGTGTCGAGTTCTGGGTACCACATTTCAAGAAAGATGTGGAGAAATTGGGGAGGGTCCAGAGAAGAGCAACACAAATAATTAAAGGCTTAGAAAACATGACCTATAAGGGAAGACTGAAATAACTGGGTTTGTTTAGTTAGAAAAGAGAAGACTGAGAGGGGACATGCTAGCGGTTTTCAAGTATCTAAAAGGGTGTCATAAGGAGGAAGGAAAAAAATTGTTCACCTTGGCCTCTGATAATAGGACAAGAAGCAATGGGCTTAAACTGCAGCACAGCAGGTTTAGTTTGGACGTTAGGAGAAACTTCCTATCAGGGTGGTTAAGCACTGGAATAAATTGCCTAGGAGGTTGTGGGATCTCCACTGGAGATATTTAAGAGCAGGTTGGACAGACACCTATCAGGGATGATCTAGATCAGGGGTCAGCAACCTATGGCTCACTTAGGAGCCAAATACGTCTCACAGCTTGAACTTGCTCCCCCCTGCAACACAGAGCTCATACTGGCGATCCAGCATCACACCCCCTGCAAGACTGGAGCCAGCCCCGGCTTCCTGCTTGAGTGAGGGGGAAGCTCCCAGGTTCCATGCCAGCCTGGCTTGCGGGGAAGCACAAGCATGTGTACTGCTCCTATACCCCCTCCACAGCAATGTGCATGCTTCCTTATCCACCCTACCTTCCCCCATGCTCTGCGGAGCTGGGACACAGGAGCTGCGCAGCCTCCCCCCTGCCAGGCACATCAAGCTGTCGGATGTGGTGGAGGTGCACATTGAGTGCACAGGGTCTGCAGGGGGAGGGTGGCTAAGATGGCAGTGGAGGATCTGGGCTTTGGGGATGAGGCGTGACACACGCACTTCTTCCAGCGCTGCCTGCAATTTATCATCGCTGGAGAGCAGCAGGTACCAGCCAGGCTGTGGCGGCGATGGGAGCGGGCACTGCTGCTGTTAGACAGCATGTGCGAGGCTGAGGGGGCCCATTGGCACGGTCTCAGGGCCCGTCCCACCGAGGCCCCTCAAGGTCTGGTTCTCCTTGTGGCCGGCTCCCAGGCTGGGGATCCTGCCGCTGCTCCATAGCCCAGAATCCAGCAAATGGAGCAAGGGGAAGCCATGCCTGGGACAGGGAACCTGAAAGCAGCACAGGCACAAAAAGCTAGTAAGTGCCGCCCAGACCCTGCCCCCTCTGCCCCCAAACGGCCCGTCCCACCGAGGCCCCTCAAGGTCTGGTTCTCCTTGTGGCCGGCTCCCAGGCTGGGGATCCTGCCGCTGCTCCATAGCCCAGAATCCAGCAAATGGAGCAAGGGGAAGCCATGCCTGGGACAGGGAACCTGAAAGCAGCACAGGCACAAAAAGCTAGTAAGTGCCGCCCAGACCCTGCCCCCTCTGCCCCCAAAC